GTTCTTAAGTTGAATCTGGTGTCCAGATTCAGCCGCTGTTGAAACTGATCAGTTTCAGCAGCGGCTGAATCTGGACGCCAGTTCCGACTTACATACAGATTCAACTTAAGAACAAACCTACAGCCCCTATCTTGTACGTAACCCGGGGACTGCCTGTACTAACTTCCATCACTTAATTATACTGCAGATAATGATTCTTAAAGATATAGACCAATGTGGCAATACAAAAAATTGTTTAAATAAGTAGACTGGGATACTTTGGGGCAACTGATTTTTGGTTAAGTGGCTATGGACTGTTGATTGGGTAGGTCTCTGGGAAATCTGTTTTTGCTGAGTGTTTTTCAGTCATTTAATTAGTTTTAAACACTCCTGGAAGAAACTAACCATCTTATTCTCCTCTTCACAACTGGCCCATAAGACATTTAAAAACCAACAGTTATAGCGGGGGATAAGCAGATTGTAAGTACTGGCTTTCATTAAGTATGTGTGTTATCTTTTTCTTTATAGAGGAACAGTGTTTGTTGGCATTCAAAATTCTGCCAAATGTATTACTAGAACCTCACAACCCTCCTCCACAGGAGTTCTCAGGTGGCTAAGCCTTCATCGGAATGGTTTAACGATTAGAGCTGCCCCTTCCGTCTGAAACGGTGCCCTGGTAGAGTAGCAAGACACGATCTTCATTCCAGCGTTCATCATCTCTTTCACACGGGCTCCCTCCTGTGAAGTCTGCAGCGCGGTGCTATCGTAGGTCCATCTCTTCCCCTAGGGACAGAGGAGTGAGTCAGAGCAGCTGCATAAAGCCATGGGCCCAGGGTTGCTGTTAAACAGCGTGATCTGACCATGCTCTGGTGCCTTTCACCCCAAGGATCTCAAAGCAGCTCATTTTTGGACTCTCCCCCTCTAGCTCTGCATCTCTGTGCTTCCCACCCGGCTAACTTCTAGGGACCAGGATGTGGGTCTGTTTACCTCACTGTTATGGACATGATGAAGTGGGAATTATAGGCAATTTTTTAAAAAAAAGAAAGCTGTTAGGGGAAACTGAGGCACACATCTGCTCTGTTGTTACCCAGTGGGAGGGAAAGGTCTATTTTGCTCTTGGGAGCAGGCTCAGACCCAGGTGTGACTGGTGCCTTCATGCTGGGGGCCTTAAATTCCGTAGCAATGGAGCGCTGGAGAAGACAGTGGCCGATGTAATCACAGGAACTTGGCTTCCAATGGTGCAGGGAGATGTGGACTTCCCACCACTCTGTCAAGGGGGTGGATCTGCCACCTCCCTCCAGGTCCTCTCACCTGCCAGGGCCCACAGACCATCTGTCATGTTATTGGATTTTAGGGAAAGCATCCAAGGTGGGGGGGGGTCTGTACAAAGGGGGCCATGTGGGGTGTCAAAGCCAGAGCACTCCTGCATCCAAGGGAGAGGGGGTCTGTAGAAAGGGGGCCATGTGGGGTGTCAAATGAAAGCTTCTGTTCTACTGATTCTATGTGTACTACTCATGTACTGGTGTGATCTCTGTATGTGGAGTTATGAATATGGACGTCGTGCTGTGAGTGTTCTCTGCCTGACAGAGCAAGGGCCTGGACTGCCTGCTGGAAGGATGGAAGGTCCAGTCAATGACTGTGTGTGCTGTGAGTGTTCTCTGCCTGACACAGAGCAAGGGCCTGGACTGCTTGCTGGAAGGATGGAAGGTCCAGTCAATGACTGTGCTCACTAGCAGGGCCCCGAGGACCATGGCTCTCAAGGTGCCCAATACACACCTGAGGAATGCGCCTGGAAACCTGCAGCCCAGCCAGAACCTCCTGGCTGCTGGCATGTGAAACAGAGAGAGGTCACTTGACCATGTGACCTGCTCCACTGGGGAGAGACCAGGAATGGATATAAAAGGCCATCTGGTCATCTCCATCTGGTCTTCAATTCTGCTACTGATCCCAGATGCAGCCTTGTGAGGAACAGCGAGCCGAGAAGGATTCGCTGACCCATCCTGACATAGGATGTGCACCAGAGACTTTTAAGCCGGCAGTTACAACATCTCTGCTCAGAGCCTGACTCAAGAACTGGGTGACTGGTGCATGTGATGTATTTTCCTTAACAATCTTACTCTCAACGTTTGCTTTCTTTTGTTAATAAACTTTTAGGCTACGTCTACACTGGCACGTTCTCATGCAAAAACTCTTTTGCTCTGCAAAAACTCTTCCAGAAGAGAGCGTCTACACTGCCATGTGCCTTTGCACAAGAGATGTGCTTTTGCTCAAGAGCATCTGTGCCAGTGTAGACGCTCTCTTGCGCAAGAAAGCTCTGATGACCATTTTAACCATAAGGCTTTCTTGCGCAAGAAATTCATGTTGCCTGTCTACACTGGCTTCTTCTGGAAGAGCTCTTGCGCAAAAGGGCTTCTTCCTGAGCGGGAGCATCAGAGTTCTCGCGCAAGAAGCCCTGATTTCATACATTAGAACGTCAGTTTCCTTGTGCAAGAACACGTGGCCAGTGTAGACAGGCAGCAAGTTTTTGCACACGAGCAGCCGCTTTGGCTCAAGATCGCACCAGTGTAGACGTAGCCTTAGCTTTTAGATTCTAAAGGATTGGCCCAGCGTGCTCCTGGGGGTAAGATATAAAGTGTAAATTGAGCGGGGATCTATGGTTGGTTCTTTGGGACTGAGAGGATCTGCTTGGGGTAGGTGAGATTGGGTTCTATAACCTCTCACCTGTGGGCAGGGCTTGCCGAGCGGCGGTGCCAGCCGCACTATCCGGCGATACACGCACGCGCAGATCGCCCGAACCTGGCTCTTCCGGGTTGTAATCTACTCGCCACAGGCGAGCTTGTTGAGCCCTGCCTGCGTGTAAGGGCCTGAGGCTGATGGTGGCACAGGGAGAGCTGGCGTATCTGAGGGGTTTTGCTCGTGAGGCTTCCTGCTGGCTGGATTGGCAGCTGGAGCGCTCGGTGCGAGTGGTTTGTGACCTATTTGGGAAGGTTTCCAGTCTGGGGCTGTAAGCAGGGCCGGATTAAGGGGGGGGGGGCTAGCCAGGCAGCTGCCCGGGGCACCAACCTATGAGGGGCGCCCAATGGCAGCTGTAAGGTGTGCAGTGCACCAGGGGGCAGGTCCGCACGTGCGCTGTGCACCCAGAGGCGGAGCCGCACATGCGTCGCGTGCCTGCTGCCCAGGGCGCAGGAATGGCTCAAGCCAGCCCTGGTTTTGAGCAATTCACCCTGAGCGGACGCCCTCGGCTGTGCCCAAACCCGGCCTGGTCTGTCACACGATCTCCTCCCATACCCTCCGAGCACTTCCTGCTCACCCCGAAACAGCTTCTGGTGGTGCTCAGGATTCTCCAGGAGGAAGGGTGAGGAGACTTGGAAGGCAGCAAGCCACCCTTAGCTGTGTAGGTTGGGGGAGGGGGTGTTGCATGGTTTGGGGTAGCCCTTAGCTGAGCCAGGTGCGTGTGCTGCAATTAGGACTCAGTGGTAGCGGGGAAGGGAACAGGGGAAAACGTCTCCCCGAGGGAAGAGAACAGCATTCCTTAGATCCAGGACTTCTCCCTCAGCCTGACAGCAACTCCACATCCACGTATTTCACCCCACCCCACCCCTCTTTCTCTCCCTTTCCAACACCCTTTCTCTCCTGCTGCAGCTCCCTGTGAACAGATCTGACTTCCTGTGTCTCTTTCCTGCACCCTCCCCCGCCCCCCATTAGGGATGTAAAAAGTCATTTAAAAAGTACCCATGAAAGGTCCTAGCGATGTCATGGGCTGCTGGAACTGTGGTATAAGCAGTTGTCTCCCCGGGCACGGAGCTGGTAGTCCCTGCTCCCAGGGAGTCAGCCTGTAACCTGGGGGAGGACAGGGGGAGGGGAGTCCTGGGGGGCTGGATCCCCCTGCCAAGGGTGGTTGGGGATCTACTCCAGCCCCTACAGCCTTCCCGGCACAGGGAGAGCTGGCGTATCTGAGGGGTTTTGCTCGTGAGGCTTCCTGCTGGCTGGATTGGCAGCTGGAGCGCTCGGTGCGAGTGGTTTGTGACCTATTTGGGAAGGTTTCCAGTCTGGGGCTGTAAGCAGGGCCAGATTAAGGGGGGGGGCTAGCCAGGCAGCTGCCCGGGGCACCAACCTATGAGGGGCGCCCAATGGCAGCTGTAAGGTGTGCAGTGCACCAGGGGGCAGGTCCGCACGTGCGCTGTGCACCCGGAGGCGGAGCCGCACATGCGTCGCGTGCCTGCTGCCCAGGGCGCAGGAATGGCTCAAGCCAGCCCTGGTTTTGAGCAATTCACCCTGAGCGGACGCCCTCGGCTGTGCCCAAACCCGGCCTGGTCTGTCACACGATCTCCTCCCATACCCTCCGAGCACTTCCTGCTCACCCCGAAACAGCTTCTGGTGGTGCTCAGGATTCTCCAGGAGGAAGGGTGAGGAGACTTGGAAGGCAGCAAGCCACCCTTAGCTGTGTAGGTTGGGGGAGGGGGTGTTGCATGGTTTGGGGTAGCCCTTAGCTGAGCCAGGTGCGTGTGCTGCAATTAGGACTCAGTGGTAGCGGGGAAGGGAACAGGGGAAAACGTCTCCCCGAGGGAAGAGAACAGCATTCCTTAGATCCAGGACTTCTCCCTCAGCCTGACAGCAACTCCACATCCACGTATTTCACCCCACCCCACCCCTCTTTCTCTCCCTTTCCAACACCCTTTCTCTCCTGCTGCAGCTCCCTGTGAACAGATCTGACTTCCTGTGTCTCTTTCCTGCACCCTCCCCCGCCCCCCATTAGGGATGTAAAAAGTCATTTAAAAAGTACCCATGAAAGGTCCTAGCGATGTCATGGGCTGCTGGAACTGTGGTATAAGCAGTTGTCTCCCCGGGCACGGAGCTGGTAGTCCCTGCTCCCAGGGAGTCAGCCTGTAACCTGGGGGAGGACAGGGGGAGGGGAGTCCTGGGGGGCTGGATCCCCCTGCCAAGGGTGGTTGGGGATCTACTCCAGCCCCTACAGCAACGGCGTGTGTCTCTCCTATGCCCAGTTCGCCACGCTGATGAGGCCTGCAATTGTTTTTAAAGTGTGCCTCTGTTTCCCCGTTCGGGGCAGTGATCCCTGGGGGGACTGAAGGGGGCCTTTACCCGGATAAGAGGGAAGAGACGAGCGTTGGGCTAGTACACACGAGCAATCGGTGAATGGCCTGGTCACGCCTAGATGGAGTCGGCCTGGTGGAACAGTGGAAGACCCTAACTCCCTGGGAAGAGATAAGTTGGGGAGCTAGGTGCCTAAACCCCTTTGGCTCTGTGATACACAGGCCCCAGTGGCAGCCTTGCAGGAGACAGGGCTACCGAATTCTACCCTTTGGGGACAGTGTTAAGGAAGGAAGCAGCATTCCTGTAGAAGGAGGCCCCTGCACGTAACACCCCCTTAAAGAGGGGGAGTTTCCTCTTGCGAGCCCCTCACTTACCCAGCCCTGTGGCCTGGTGCAGGCTGCGTGCCAGGTCCTGCTTGTCCATGGCCTTCAGCACGCTCACGACCACGTCCACCGCGTAGCTCTCCCTGTAGTAGTTGATCAGCAGGCGGGTGAGTTCCACGGCGCCAGCTTTTTCCAGCTCGCCCCATTTGATGCGGCTGTAGCCGGCTTTGGGCTGGAAGTGGTTCAGCTTGTCTCGAAACGTCACCAGGTCTGACTCGCCCAGCTCTCTAACGGTATCGAACAGATGGTCTCGCAGGGCCTTTGCCATGCTGCCTCCTGGCTCCGACACCAGGAAGGAGACCCAAAAGAAAGTGAAACTTCGGCTGAGTCCTGCGCCCGTCCCTCGTGTCACCATGGGCTGTGCTCAAGGGGAGGGTGTTTGACTCTGGCTCCCAGCGCTTGTGGCTCTTCTACGGGGGCAGGGGTCTCCAGGCCGGGAGGGTTGGTCAAACCTTCAGGGAATAAAGACTGGGAGGGCAAAGGGCATCTGAGCCCCGACTGTGAAGGCAAGAGGCCTGGGGAGCTTGGGGCCGCGCCCTGCCCATCGTACCCACCGTGGTGCTGAGGAAGGGATGGTGGCTTGGCTCCTGTAGGGGGCGGGGCTGGGCAGAAGGGGTGGGGCTGGAGCTAGCCTTCCCCAGCTGGGCTTTCACTAGATGCCCATACTTCCTGTCCTTACTTGGGCAAAAATAACAGCTTTGCATAATCTTGGGAACTACTACAGAATGTGATCCCCTTGATGACAAACTGAGTTTAAAGCAAATGATTAGATGATAAATAATTCTCTTCAGTATTTGCAAGGATAATGAATTTGGGTTACCAGTAATTATGCCTTTAGTATAATATGTCGCATTATAAAGCCAGCTTCTCCTGTCTTTAACACCTCGTAGTTGCATCAAAAGCTAAGTGTGGATACTTCTGGCCCACTTGATTATCCTCGTTAGCACTGACCCTGCAATTGACAGGTACTTCCCCTTCCCCCGCTGTTATAAATAACATGGTTTCTCTTATTCCTCTCCAACTCACCTGAGGAAGTGGGTTTTGCCCAGGAAAGCTCATGATACTAGACGTATATTTTTGTTAGTCTCTAAGGTGCCACAGGACTGCTCATTTGTTTTTAAAGTAACAGACTAACACAGCTATCCCTCTGAGACCAAAAAAAAAGTGTCTTTGCTAAGAAAAGGAGCACAGGAATTTATTAGCCACTGGTGCCATCTA